CGGCGCTTAACAATAACAAAACGTCAGCTTCGTCTTAAAAAACATTGCCGGAAATTACCCGTCAACGACAAAAAAAACGGAAAAGAAAGGCGAAAAATTGAATTAAGAGCTGAGGCGCCGTGCTCCGCCGCGACCGGCCTGCTCCAGTTCTTCGAATCCACCCAAAAAGCGATAGTCGGGTGAAGACGACTATAACTCAAGCTCGGCAATGGCATAATGCAAAAGAGTTATCAAACTAAACAGTGTTCACATCTTTGGGAATTCCTGTAGATTTGTAATGTAGAATAAAAAATGAAAATTCTGTAAACCACATAATGCAAAAGAGTTATCAAACTAAACAGTGTTCACATCTTTGGGAATTCCTGTAGATTTGTAATGTAGAATAAAAAATGAAAATTCTGTAAACGAAAGGAACAAATGACCATTAATGAAGCATTTTAAAGAGAAGCGGGAAAGCGTTTATCCTTCGAGGTCAGTACTTTCTATTGGTATGGATGCATATAATATAGAGCATTTTTGAACGCTTACTCGAATCTACTTCCATATCAGCAAAACGCTTTTCTGGAAGAAGCTGTGGGCGCTCAAAAGTCCCAACTTTGAATCTCTCACAAGTACGGATAGTTATGTGCGTTATCGCCAGTGGTGTGGTGCGCCAGTGGCGCTAGTGGTGCCTAACTTGCTGGCATTAGAAGCGAGTGGTTAGTGGTTGAGATCTGGCGTAGAGCGCTCTTGTGTTTTAGTGCAAATTCGATACGCGTTCGAAATCATCGAGGCTTGCGTAAAGTATTTGTTGAAAATTGCGATCGCTTGCATAAATTCTGTTTGCAAAAATCATACACAAAGCAAACTATGAAATGACATTACAAGATGGATGAAACACAGCAATCTGTCAACAGCAGGGTTACTGCAGATTTACTACGCTTGCAAAGCTCACAATCAAAATGCACAAATGTTCGCTCTCCACCAGACCACATCGATGGCACTCGTTTTTAATGCCAGCACGTTAATTGCTACACGTACTTGTGAACTTGTGAATGGCACAAAATTGTCACACTTACGCGTCCACTTTTTTTAAGGGAAGTGTTTCGCCTATATGGAATGCAGATTTGAGTTCAGCATTCAAAAGTACCCCCAAACAATGTGTATCTCTATCAAATAGCCACGTCCTTGAAAACATTCCCGCGTCACCTTTCTTAACTGGGCGTAGAAGCCCAGTTGAACCAATCAAAGAACCTCGCCATTTTTGCGATCCACATGATCGCTAACTTTTGCACTATATTTGATGCCAATGATTGTGCAGGGTGTCCCAAAAAATGTAGCTACAGTTCGATTGTAAATAACTCTCTTGTAATGAAGTGTATTATTTTGTATTATCTTGTGGAGCAAGGTTAAACTTGGGTTTACAGTATGGAGCCAATCATCGATCGCTCTTTATTATTGTAGATTTAGAGAATTTCCAGCATACGGGACCATTGTGAAATATGTTATTTAACAAAATTCTTTCCGAAAAATTCAAAAATCGTATACGGTCTTTCACGCAAGGTGATTCCACTACGCAACTTTTTACGAGTGTTTTCATCTTTTCTGACGGTGTAATCACATTTCTAGCAAATGCTGGGAGTTCAATTATTACGATTTACATGAGATAACTTAGGACAGAAGCATCAGCCATTATTCTATTACATTTTCTAGCGTTTTCTATCGTCAGAAAGGCCTGAAATTCAAACGTGATTAACTTGCTTTCAAAAGTGAAAGAAGTCAGCTTTTTTAAGCTCATAACAAAGTAATGTTCCCTGTCAGTATATGCGAGAAATTAGAATTCATATCGCTCTCAAATAATGGATTAGGAAGTACTGCCAATATTCCAACCATCGCGTTTTTCACCTTGAGCGCGTCAACTCCACGGATTACCACAAAGGCGACACAAGTCGAGGTAAGCTCAAACACCTACTGTAGAATGTTCGAGATTTGTGCTAGCGAATTACATAATATAAAACTAGGATGAAAGAGCGTCTTTGAAGATAAAGTTAATGGGGTCGGGCGCAACACCTCAAAAGGTCAGGCCGCCTGAGCTTTTGTAACCTTGGGCCTGATCCCCTTAACTTGTCTTCAAATTTCAAAAATCGGTCCATTCCTGTTACAAATATTGAGTTCAAAGCCTCTTCTTACCGCAACGAAAATTCGGAGCAAAACACTCTACCCCTGGGGAAATTCTGGCTTGTTCAATAAGGCCATTCACATCAAAATCAGCCGTCAAATTGCGTATACTTGCATGTGCAATCACAGAAAACCAATCATACATTCTTCTAAGGTTCAAAAAATCTGAAGGACAGGCTCGCCTTCTTCAGAATGTCACACTCTGAGGTTCCGGAGGTGGAGAAGGTTGAGGGGAGGAGGGTCGTTTCCGAGCGACTTGTGCCTGACCTCTTGCTCAACTCTGGTAACAAGTAAGGTTGAATCAGACTGCGAAGAATACGCGGAGCACGTAGCCTGCGAACACGTGCATAAAGTGCATGTGCATTTTTTCGTTAGCTTTCGTGCTGTTCTCCATAAAGCGATTAAAGCCTCGTTTGATCGTTTGAGTTATAGCTGCTGAGGAGACAATGATCGCCTTTGATTCAAAGTAAATTATGCGCAATAACTACTTTCACTTGGGCGACTCAACGGTAACCTGAGAATTCGCCAAATTCGATCAACGGGAGTTATGTGACACGCAAATACGAAAACGATATTTCTTATAGGGCTAGGGCTTAAAAGGGCTTCTTCAACATGCTTACAATTAGCTCACGTATCCAGTGATTCAATATTTTAGCTTTCAGCTATTTGAGCTTATATTTTGCATAAAGGCTTTGTCCGAAATTATCAGCAAATATTAGGTCGGTCCGAAAGTTCTTTCCGTTTTTTTCCTAACATAAAATCACCTGGAATGAAGATAGGCAAATGGTTCAAAGACTATCAAACGCAGCTTTTCTTTCTCTCTCCATCAATCATGTGTTGAGAACATTCCTTTGGTGTCTGACATAACCGCCGAAATTTCGAACCCGTGGTTTTTACCATGCCCAACTTTGACATTTTTCAAAATCGACATCTTGATCTTTTGGAGGAGTTGTGATAGCGGTTAGACTGCGTAAACAAAGTGCAACGCAATGTAGTTTTCTCGCATCATCATTTAGTGTTTGCGAAGTCGCAAAATACGCAAAGGCACTAAGTAGTAACAAATTGTCGGAATTTGATACTTGCAAAGTTCGATCATGGTTATACACTATCTTTACAGAGCAGTAGAGCGTTTGTCGCTTCGGAATATCAAATTTGACATTTTGCAGGTACAGCCTGAGAAGGGTCCAAAACCACTAATTGTGGTAATTTTATCGCCGAAGACTCCACCAGCTGAGTAGGAAAAAAGCCTCCACACTTCCCTCCCTCCCCCAGAAAGAGGGGAAAAAGTTGCATCGAATGACACCTTATTTGCGCGCCGTTTAATGTTCTGTGATCTTGCGATGACCAAAAGTGGAATATGATAGTATCAGAAATATAATTTTGAAAATTTTGGAAAGCCTATAGGTGCCAAAAAATTTCACTACATTGCACTTTGTTTACGCTATGAAGTTCACAATAAAAATTTGAAAAATTGCCAAAATTGGGCATGGTAAAAACCATGAGTTTGAAATTCCGGCAATTATATTAAAAACCACCAAAGCAAAAGCAATGGTCCCAAAACATGACTGGTGGAAAGAGGAAGAAAAACTGCGTCTGGTAGGTCTTTGAACCCTGCCCAATTTGCCTGCCTTTGTTCCACGTGATTTTATGACGTAAAAAGAGAAAGAACTTTCAAACCGACCTAATATTATATCATCGCTAACATTAGGTATCACCTCGATTACGACCCGCTTCCTGTATGCCCTTACCCTCAGGTATAACGTGCCACACCCTAACTTTGACCATGATTACCATAAGCGATTCTTTCTTTGCGGCACAAACAGTTATACATTTTTAGGTTTTTGTTAAATATTGTTCTTGTAAACATTGCCTTTATGCGAACAAAGGCCTGAAAAAACTAACCATTCTTTGCAAAATGAAAAATTGTCTTTGACTGTAGAAATTCTTTTAAGTGCGTCATACACAACAGCAGCTTCATTTAATAAAATCAGCTAGCTTGCAAATGAGTCGTTGAAATCCATTTCACATTCCGTTTCGATTCCAGGCATAGTTTTAGGAATTTTTTTTGAAAAGAAGAGACCACGGAAATCACTTTTTGATGCACACTTCCCATTTCTTTAGAAGTTTAGATTTGAAGCACTAAAGTATTTTTAATCACATTTTCTTTCTGTTGCACCTCATACTAAAGTTATTCTACATACTTTTTCTCCTAAATTTAGCAGATGCTATTGTTGGGCGAGAGCAATTGAAGTAGAAGACAAACATAAAGTGGTAATGATGGCGCCGCCAAGCGCGTCGCGTACGTATTTCCGGCAACTGCACTTTCATGGACTAAATCATTGCCCGATTGGTGTTTTTGGACACGTATAGTAGCATTATGATACTGGAAGTGACCAGATAAGCATTAAGGTGATTCTCGTATACACGTTTATGTCCCAGGGGCCCGATGACCGCAGTCCAAACCTCGTCACAAATTTATAAATGTCTTATCCTTGTTTACTGATGTGGATTAACTACTCAAGATGATGAGGAAAACAACACGGTGGGATAATCAAGTGCATGAGCCATCCCCTTCAAAGCTTCGCGTCAGACTCCTTCACTCCATGAGATAATCATCATTAAAGTGTCGCGCATTTCCCTTTTCAGTTCTCATTCTTGAAGTAAACGCGTGATACTTACCATTGTGAAGAGATTGGCTCATGTAGAAAAGTACGCATTGCAGATGCAGAGTACAGAATCCAGCAGACAGCTTTTAGTCATCTTTGTTTCCGGTCTCTAAATAAGAGTCTACTGTTGCTCAAATTTAGCACCTTACACTTCTATAATTTAGTTCCGACTTACAGCTCTCGCTCACAACCGAGAATATTTGGAGGACATTGGAATAACAAGTGCTTTCATGGAAGGAAAAGATGGGAATCGACTTTTTGCGTCTTTCAACATACGGTTCGCCGTCGAAGCCAAACAGTTCCAAGCAAACTTCGAAAAAATCCATGAAGCGTGCAATGTTGGTCTAATATGCGCATATTGCAGTCAACTCATAAACTTTTTGACGCTCTTGAACACTATAAATAGTGTTGAAAAGTGTCAGCCGTAATGATTACTGCTTAAAGGCAGTGGATCGGCAAAACTTGACAATCCAGGATCTTAACGCAGTAGGTTCCTTATCGTCCAAGTGTGAAAACAGTGCAATCACGGTTGCACAGCATGCCTTCCTTGTCGAGAAAATTGCTCTCAAATTTACACGCGCAAGCCAATCTTACACGCACCCGGACGAGTTGGCAACTTCCTTCTCACCATTGGAGGCTGCCCGCCGCAATGCTATAATCATTGGGTCCCGCAACGATTCAGCGTCATCAGCCTTGCTCCACTCGTCCAATTTTGAAGGGAAGGGGGTTGAAAAACGCTTGTTTTCGCCGTTTTCGAGCTTTTTAAAGTAGATTTTCGTGATCAGCGTATTGAATAGCCCCAGGTAAGCGAAAATTTGACTAGGTTGAGATTTGCCGAGCCCTGCCTTCAAATTACTTTGGACCTCCGAAAAAGATGACAGATATATTAAGGTTTTTGGGAAAGGCTTTCCCGTTTCTCGCGACGATTTTTTGACAAGAGATGAGTTTGCTGCAGTTCTGAAAAAAGTGAGTCCACTATCTATCGCGAATGCCTGCTGATGTCTTCGTATTCAGATTGGACTTACTCTAGCAAGAGTTTCAGTGGGGCGTGCGCCTTCTTTTACTATGATGCCAGATAAAGCATGTAAAAAAGAAAAGTACTTCAGAACAAACAGGAAAAAATGGAGCTACTATGACAAAAATGGAACAACATTCGTAAGAACATCGTGTGGCCGTTACCTTGGCATGAGACTACAGTGAGATTATAGGTGGTTGCTGATGATCACTGGATGAGTGGATATCCAGACAACATGTGTTCGGATACGCCTAGAATCACGGTTGGTATGGCTTCGTCTGGCTACATAGACATTCCAGCAATAGCTCGCAAGTCCATTATATGTTTGATAGGTAAGGGTTCGGATTTCTTAATACAATCTGTACAAATCATTTTCTAGGCGACAACAAAGATGGCGGTGCAAAAGGCCCTCGCACAGGAGCGCGACAACGCGGAGAATATTGCAATAAAGCGGCTAGATACAATAAGAAATTGAAACGATGCGAATGCCTTGACCCCAAATCTGACGGGCGAGTGGTTGATCCGGAAACATATGGACATTACCCTCCTGTAAGTTACTCTGAAACATATTTACACCTTTCATTTCAATCTATAATGGTCTAACAAGGGACAATGACTTTAACATCTCTTGTGAAAATAAGGTATTCGGGACGCTAGCGCACACTTTGTTTGACGAGCATGACTTGTTCTTCTTTGGTCCCAAGTTGTTAATCATAAAAAAGCATAGAACACGCGCTGACTACTCATAAGCCAAGCATTTCTAGTATTTTTGCTTCAAAATGGAAGACGCTTCGAACTAAAAAAATATCGAATCTTGGCAGCCGAATGCAATACCTATAAATTAAAGTTGCTGAAAACTTGTTTAATTCGATAAAGTCGTGAATCTAATTTCAAAAATGAGACATGGTGGATGTTATAAACTAGTTCTTGTAATTATTTTCTACCGTCTATTTTTCTACTTAACTCAATGCTCTGATTATTTTGGAAGAAGAAGCTTTTTTCAAGATTATTTCATCGAACATACACACAAAAATCAATGCTGTTGAGTGCGAAAGGAGAAAACAAGAAAAATTACAAGAATGCGCATTTGCCGAAGAGTCCTTCGTAGAATCTAAGCCAACTAGGATCATACTTCGGTAAATCGAAGTTCGCAACGCGGAATTTGAACACTTCGCAATTGCTCACAATTGCTAACATTGATAAAGCCATGTTCGCTCTTTGACACATTTACGACAAAGCCAATTTTTCGATCACTGCTGTTTCAGACCAGAGCCATTTTTCGCTTTGTCAAGCTTAGGACTCACCCGTGGGTCGTGTTGTCCGAAATGGTAGTCTTTCTGGAAAAAGTTCGGAACATGTCTCCGAGAATACGCTTACAAGGGAATAATACTTGGTGACCGTGGCCGTTCAGATTGAATTATATATTGAATAATGCGCATTTTAATGCTGCTTTGAAAACTGTCTTCTATATCTGCGAAACGATAACCTGAATGGAGTCATGATTTTGCAGGAATGAACTGCGCTGATGCGGAGGGTCAAAATCATCAATAAGAAAACTTTCCTTCTTTTTTTAAATGAGTATCGGCTTTAGACTTTGTATCGGCTTTGTTTTGGAATATAAGCGGTACAACTTTTGTAGTGAGGCTGGGCTGGCTTTAATAGAGATCAATTTAACCAAATTGATTCTGATATTCTCAGAGGTTCTGTTTATTGAGCAAGAATCTTTCTTAATGACCATAAGCTTTGGTGATTAGTCCTCCTAGTAATTTTGATAATTAAGATATGACCGCTCCCTCTGAGATTTTCTTCAATAGCATCAAACGGTACCCAGAACAAATTTGTTGGTTTCAACGTACAACGCAAACTGTTTGCGAAAAAAGTTCGTAACTTCCTTCAGAAGATCGTTCTGCAAATATCGAGTACAGAGTTAGAATCAGCGTTTCGGGATGCATCTTATAATTTAAAATGCATTTCAAACGGCCACGATCACCAAATATCCTTCCCTTGTCAGAGGATTATCGGGGGGGGGGGATATTAAAATGTGATTTATTTCTGTTTTTTACATTATACTGTAAGATTACAATGGTCTTTCTATAGGTATCAAAGTTCATGGATTTTCATTGAAAAATTGTTTTTGGGGTTATCACGTGCTGATCACAATTGTAGTGTCCACTTCGTTCACTACTGTTCGCAGTAGGGCTACGATAGCAGTACGGTGGAATTTTAATAGAAATCAAAGAATTGGTCTGAGATGGCCGTATACTAGAATTTGAGACTAACATTCTTGTAATCAGCATGCTGCAAAACCTAAACATGTAAGGATTTCAGCTTCCTGGGATGAACAATGCAAAAAATCAATAAAAAATCGATATTTTTTGATGGTCTAACATCGTTTCTTGCCCGCCTCTTATTTCTCGTGCATGTACACTTGAATGTTCGGAACAGCTCATCCGGCGAAAAATTTGAGCTAAAGTCTGTGCCTTATCTCTATTTGAGGTATGTCTACCGTAACATTACATCACGTATCCCAAGCCTAAACCACTCTGGTTGATGCTTCGCCCAGGTGTACCCAATAACGTGCCAGAACCCGTAAAATTCCATGCAAACGCCAAAACTGAAGCTTCAGGAATCTTACGACCCACTGGTGAGACGACATTTTCGACAATACGACCCACAAATGGCTCGTATTGTCGAAAATGTGTTCCGATTCAACCGGACTCCGCAACCGCAAAGTTACTCATAATGTTTTCGACAAAATAAAAACAACAATCTACTCAGACAGTACTCATTCTGGATTCGCGATAAGAAGCAAATTTAATAAGCAGGCAGCTATATTGCGAAAATTACGGAGGGTGGACAGCGGCAGTCCAGAGGGCAGCCTTGAATCTACAATCACTTTCTGACTCACAATTGATATTCATGAGTCAGAAAATGATTGTAGGGCGTGTTTGCTGTTAATGGCAACCAGCGATTAGGAGACTATGGCTTGGAATGCAGTGGAACGGTTTCTATGAGCAAAGCAGCCATACATTGTCGCGCAGTAAATGGTGCCCGATCCCTATCATCAATGTCCACTCGGGACCTTACGACACCCGCTCGCTTTACGTTAGATACACAGCCGAACCAAACGCGGCAAAAAGTCAAGTTCATGAAACTTCATATTTATATGAGCTTGTTTATGCATTCTATTGTTATCTATTTCTCATCATTGCCTACCAGCTGCTTTTTGACGAATTTTGATAATTAAATAAATTTTAAACCGTCACATCTTCCTCTCATCTCGCCTGCGCTATTGAACCCCAATTATGTTATCGTTTCCTCTATCCTTTCTCTGTAAAGTATGTCATTTATGTTTCGGGAAATTCGAAATTGCACTATATGAATGAATCTTAAGAAGGGCGTATCAAAAAAATGTGCTTACTGTTTGATTGTTGATAACTCTTTTTTCATGGTCTTTCGAAAAGCCTCAAGAACTATTTCGTAGAGCTGGCTTGCACTTAGGCTCACTGTAAGAAGCAAGTCACGATAGATCTTCATTATTGTAAAAGCAACTTTTGGCATATAGCCTGTGAAAAAGCTGCCTCTTCAAATCAATTCTGAAAAGATTTGAAGATACGTGTAAAAGTTTCAAGGACGCCGAGTTCAGTGCTCACCATTGCACATGATTACAAAGTTTTCCGAACGGCGTCACAGTTTTTAGAGGGACAAAAACTGCTGCTTACCTGGCATGGCAGAATACGTAGCCAATACAGGCATAAAAATATAAATAAAGAAACAATGCTCTTATCAAAAAGTATTGATAATGAGAGCACACCACAAGACTTATTTCAATATACTCATTTATTGCAAAAACAGCTCCATAAAACAAGCAAATGCAGCATGTTTTGATCTTACATTTCTAATTTGAACAAAACGTAAATAACTATTCTTAGTACACTTTGCAAATTTATGTTCAGTATTATCAAAAAAGTAAAACAAAATATCAAATAGCAATAACAAAGTTGAATGTATTCATAGTATACTGAACGAAATTGATCTGAATAAGATTATCAATAATATTTACATGAAAAATATACAAAAATAGCAAAATCAACTACAATATGTGCAGACTTATATATAAACTTTGCAAATTTTTATTACAATACCATTCTTACCAAGCTTAAAAGAAACAATATAAATAAATTACCCAAAAATGCAAATGTACAGAATCAAAAATGACAGAATGTATTGATAACAACCATGGACATATCATTACTGGGATCAAAAATAAACACTTCAAATCCTCAATGAACAAAGGTACTAAGTACAAAATGCATTTAGCACTAATGGAAAAGAATTAATAGATTGGATCCAGCAACAGTCTTACTCACTATAAATACTTATATCAAAAAATACAAACTCAAATTTGAAGAACTTAAAAACATAGAAACGTTTCTCTTAAAGAGATTTAAACTTAGACTCAAACCACTTTTCTATAAAGCCAGACTAAATAACAAACAAGAAGACCCAAATAAAATTACAATTTTGAATCTAAATACATTAAAAAACTTGAAGAATCAATTTACAACCTGCCCACTTCGTAAAGCAAGTAACAATTTCGGTATTATATGTAAAAAATTCTACTCAAACAATAGTGGAAGAGTTAGGTATCACATCTGATAAGAAAAAAGTTTTAAATGAAAATGAAACGTATAATTTATGTGAAAAAGAAAATGCTAATGCCATTATAAAAAGACATATTAACTTTTGGAAACATAACAAATTACCACTACAAAATGTTAGTAACCTACCATCAATAGCTAGATGGCATCTCAAATTTCGACAAAAAGAGATCGTGAACCTGCCGGCAGGTTCACAATTCGGGCCAAATAAATGGCAAACGAGGACATTTTTTGGATTTCCTTTCAATTCCCATACTATTTCGACAGCAAAACTGGACCATAACACAAAAAAATAGATGATCAGCCTGGTTTGAGGATCCCCGGAGGCAGTTTGAGGTTTTAGGGACCTCAAGTCCACATCAGGGCGACCTCAGGGCATGAGATGCCGGCAGGTAGGGTGGATTACTACGGGCCCGGAAATGATCCCCGACATGGTTAGCCAAACATACTTCGGCTATCCCAATGTAGAATCTGAATGCGGCAATGTTGGAATTTTCTGATAATTAGTATAAGTATGGTTTTCATTCATCTGAACCTTTAAAAACAAGACCTTTTTGTTGTATGCATGTTTCAGTGCTGCTTCGTAAATTTTTGCTAAGTCTACCCAGAAGAATTAGTTTCTCTCTCTTGTACTACCGTGTCCTTTGTTCGTAAGTTTTGCCATCTTCAGCTTGCCAAGAGAACTGCGTTCGCAGTAACCACTGTCCATTTTTTTTACATTAGAACCTACTCACCTTGTTCAAGTACAAGTGAAGAAAGTAAACTTTGAACGTCGACAGAATTGCACCACTTTGCAAACAAGCTTACAGTTTGAACACCCATAATTAACCATCTTGATGTGAGAGCGGTTGTAATATTTACTAATTTTTAAATCAACAACCTTGAATT